AAAAAAAAATTAATAAAAGGTTATAAATGAAATGAGGAATAGACTTGCAGCCTTTTTCTTCCTCATTTTTCTTTTCTTACGATGCACTTTTCAACCATTATTAAATTACAATTTTTAAATCACATATCCAGTACTAACTGAATAATGAAAATCGACCAATTAATACAACGACAGTAAAACACGATACGAAAATTGAAGAGAGCGTTTTGAAGTTCAAGATAGAATAGTTAGGACGTATCGATGGATATGCAAAAAAACACTTCTTAAACAGAGGAATAAGCAGCCACGGATAAACAAGCCATCACTTTCCAATACATTTTTTTAGCACAAAATGATGTTCCCACTTCGCGTTTTGCTTCATTCCACAATCATTTTACTAATTGCACCAATTTATTCATCTCTCTTACTAACTGAAAAGGTCAAACCAGAGATCGACAAAGCTTTCAAGGTAAGCACCTGATATGTTGAACATTTATGAAACGCACTACTGATCTTAATTACCACTTCAGGCTCAAAAAAACTTCGAGGACTAACAGTCATTCTTTCTTGGAATATAACTGGCATCTCCAGACATTGATGAGCAGCTGGTACCACAAGCTCTCCCACCTCATTTCTCAATACCCTTCAATTCCAATCTGCTCAAACAAGTAAGGGTACATGGATTGTAGAGAAAATTCCTAACCAAACCATTGTCTGATTTTTCCAAAAACTTAACTGATCTCGTTTCTGTGATATACAGACAGCTATTAGACTATATCACGGTATGTTTTATCGACTGGACGGAATCATTGCATAGAATCAGGTCATGCTCCTGTGTTACATGCATCTAGCATGAGAATTATGCAAAAGGCTGACATTTTTTTACTACTGCAACAATTCCTTACACCAATATACTACGAAGGACTAAATATTCAGAAAAGGAATACGAAAGGTGGGGCAGCTCTAATATTTGATTTCCCGAAAAGATATCAAATTTTTAAAGATTTAAGCTGATATAAAAACGAAAAAAAGCTGTACCATGTACTGAATTGATACATGCATGCAAAGTCCAATCACCAACAAATAATATCATGCCTCTATTCCAGATAAAAATGGAGCATATAACGTTACGGAATAAGACAAACTGAGATGAAATGTCTCTCCAACTTCACGAATTTTCGAAGCGTAAATTTATCAAGCAACGAATTCACTGCAGTCAGAACTGGTCATCTACGCGGGAGCCGTGAAATCTAGAGTGGAAATGCATTTGGAACAGCACATCATCCTATGAATCGCTTAGATTGGTGGGATCTGCGATAAACATGAACAGTAAAGTCGAAAGCCTACTTCCCGCAGAGAATTTTACTAAAAAGAAACTTGGATTACGTGAATAAGCTTAGAACAAGACGGTAGAACAGAAGAAATTAAGTAATACCGTACAAATCACGGTATATGAAGAACAGCAAAAGAAGCTTTTAACAAATTTAAAGCAACCTAAATTACTCTATTTCTGTAACATATCAAAAAGCACTTTAAGAGAAGGAGTATAGTAAGTTGGTATCAAATCTTCACGTCCCTGCTTTTCGAATTCCCCCACTTTATCCAGATTATGCACTCCAGTACCTACCAGAACCGATGTTAAACCATTCACATTTGCGAATTTTATATCTGTTTCACACGAGTCACCAAATATCACCGATTTTTCGGTCTTGAGATTGAACCTAAAAAAGGTTCCCAAAAAACAAGAGCAATCGACTTTCTTGAATTATTTAAACATATATGGAGATAACTAAGGGATGAAATCATTTGACCGTTTGATTTATTTTTGTGTCATCGACTCAACACTTGGTCGTATTTCCTTGTCCATTACACAAGTGGAAATTCATCGCTTCGAAAATCATAATTTAGGAACAAGTTAGAAGTAAGAACAAGTACAAGAACAAGTAATACGAAATTAAGACTAGGCATACAGAATAGCACAACGCAATGCATTGATATAGCATTAATTTTAGTCAAAGTTAGTAAACCAGCAAAGACATACTTCTCCTTGATGTATTCGAACATTGTTTTGCTGGGCTTACCAATTAAGATTGGTTCTTTATCAGCAGCCGTTTGCACTGCCCTCATACTTACACCCGATCCTGGTATAATAACACCTAAAAATAGCTAAAAACAGAGTTATACGATCCCAAACCCTATGAAGTTCGCATTTCCAAAATATGAAAGCAAAAAATCCATAATTTCATTTAGCAAAATAACTTTCCACTTAAACTGGGTAAAAACTAATTTAGTTAACTGGGACATTACAAAAAGTAATTTAGATAACTTTTTCTCAACTAGTCTTTTGCCTGGTGCATTTAGTTCTTTGGTAAAGAAATATGAAAGCACTATTTACCTGGTATAGGCCCAGGCAGCCTTGGGTCTGGATTGGTAGCATAAAAACGGACTCCTGGCTGGTTGATATAGGTTGCAGCCCTCATTATTTTAGGATAGCTTATATGTATGTCGAAACTAACTACTACAGCTCTCACTTTTCTGGATGTATCCATTTGTTGTATGGATTCAGCACTGGTGTAAGACTCAACAGGATCGGGCCCTGTTCCAAAGCTTTCTATTCCTTCTCTTTTCAATTCTCTCTGAAACAAGAAAATCATAGCTAGAAAGTAACGAAACGGAACTCAGAAAAAAGAACACTTACTTGTAAACCACTTGAACCAACAATATACACTGGTAAGTCGGATTTTTCCTTGGCTAATATATGAGCTAAAACTTTAGCTGGTGATAAAATGTGGTCATCAGATATCATATCAAAGCCTATGCGTCGACATTTCTTCGCATAATCATCCAGCGTTTTAGTTGAATTATTCGTTACTATGAAGACATTTTTGCCTGAAAAATTTTGATTTTCAAAGAGTCACCAAAAAACTGCAAGGTCAGAATTGTTGCCTTTAAACAGAGCATCAAAACGTATTCATGACAAAGGTAGTTCTTCCTTTCCCTTACATTCAAGGAAAACAAGACCGATTGCAACAATTCCCGATACTGTTTAAGATCTCTAATGGAGGGTAAAAAGAAGGGAAAAGAGAGGGAGGAGAAAAAAAGAGTGGATAGGAGTAATAGTAACCATGAAGTATTCCAGAATTTTAGATTTTTTTAATACAGAAAGAAGTGGAAAAGAAATGGCTGTAAATACAAACCGACAGATACAAGATGTCGCAGAAAATCGGCAGCACCCGGTAGCGGAGTGTCATCAAGCCAGAGCACACCGTCAGCATCGAAAAGGAGTGAATCGAACAAATTGATCAGCTGGTGACTGTCCGCCTGTTGTATTCTTGACATCCCTTGCAGTAACAATACTTGAAATGTTCCATTACTTGATATTTGATAATGCACCAAAACTATATCTGCATCACTTTTCACAGTCCATCAGATTTTTTATACTAGACGAAGTTTTCGTCTTTTAACTATATGAGTCTTAAGGCTTCATATTGTACTATCAGGCTTTAGGCCTTCGAGTCACCACCAAATCTCTTGAATTATTTATGGCTGATAAGACATTGCATTTCCCTCTAGCTTTCACTGTCACTTATTAGCATCTCTGTTATAAAATTTTGAATTGACAATCGTGTTAATTATTTACAGCAATCATCTCAATTCCTCTTCCCTCCACTTTAATTTTCGGGGATGAATTTGCTTTTTCTCAATCAAGGAATAAATTTGAGTGGTGGAAGGACGGCTAAAAGATCTCGAGAGTAAAGATAAGTAACAAAGTATGAAGAAGAGGAAAAGAATGACCGGAAAGGAAAAGTCATATCAGGATGAAGGAAGATCATTCGCAACGAGTAAACGATGTTTACGTTACGTATTTGCGAAGTTTACACAGACGGATGAATGTTCTACGTTTCTAAATTCGCATATTATAATATATGCATGAAAAATCACTGAAAAAGACGGAAACTCGCGGAAATTAACAAAATATATCTTTATTTCAAAAAATAAACCACGTTTTGATGCTGCAGATCTAATTTAAAAAGCTGCAATATTCAACTGGTGTTCCAAAGTGAGAGCTTACAAAATCAGTCGATATTGAGAGGATACGGTGCCTCGAGTGTCCTAATTATATCACTTGGCATCAGTTCAAGATGGAGTGAGCAGGATGGGTGGGGTTTCGTCATCACTGGTCAGTGTAGTGGTCAGCAGGCACGCGGGGCGGTGCGGCGGCGGAAGTTGGCTTCAGTGGTGGTGGGCATGATTGGGGGGGAGGGTGTGTGAGTGAGTCTTCGTTCTGTCATAGGTATGGAAGAGTATCTTACGTGTGTCACGTCACATGGTTACCTGTATGAAATTTGTGCTTTATGTATACTGTTACTTTCAATAAATGATATGTTCTACTTTGCGTGCGTACTTGCGCGTGCGTGCGATGCGTCATTGTTGGTGATGGTTGTTGTTGTTGTTGTCGTTGTACTTCATATGACAGTTGCCAGGGAAATGAGGAAAGGGGAGGATAGATGGAAATCTCGGATTCGGTAGCACCAAGTATGTTCTAAATTTCGGACAAGCTGCAAGGAGTATTTCTGTGTGTGTGTCTCTGTCTGTGTCTGTGTCTGTGTGTGTTACCTCTGCGCATTTATGAGATTACCGCAGTTCGTGCCAGGTGGTGCGTGGGGGTGAGGGGGAGGGTGAGTTCTGCCTTTTGTTTGCAAAAGTGTCTGATGATCACCGCTGCTGTGATGTTGTTGTACGACGTTGGCCGATAATACTTTGTCCACGCCGTAATATTTCGCATTATTTCGCCGAGGATACTTCTTTTCCTTTCTGGTTGGTATAAAACTCCCAAATTCTCCATCTTTGCCTTTGGTCCAATTGAACAATTAATTTCCTCGAGATAGAAGGTATCGAAAAGATCGAAATAGTGAATAGAAGCTATCCCTTGTACTTCTTATTACCTCCTCGAGTTACGTGTAGGCGAAGGTTACCTATTTGATGGTAACCTGCTGATGGCTTGATAGATAACCTTCTCGATGGCTTTTAGTATATGGACTCTATTGCCCGGCTGTCAGCACTGCATGAGTTGCGTCTAAGATTTTATTCGCATCCTTAGGCGTGATCATGCAGGTAAGCTATTTCTTGACTGACCTTCATTTTTTTCTTCATCAGCTTTGTTTTGCCACATATTTTTGGCACTAACTGGTTTTTCTAGTTTCAACTTTTTGTATTATCCTTTTGAAGTTTAGGGAGATCGAAGGCTTGGGCAGTGGAGTTAATTTAAATTAACGGGATGTTTTAATGATGAACGAAAAATACGCGGATATTTTTTTAATTACTTAAACATTCATATACTGAAAATTTGTTTAGATTGTATGAATGAATCTTGGTGATACTACTGTTTTATGAATATTACTGCTGACCAATGGTTATTTTATTTTGCTTTCTTTACATATATAACTTTTCAAAACTTATCTATTTCTTCAGTATTTTCTACTGTTTCCAAAAGTTTAGTAATTTCGGATTATATTTTAGTAAAGTTGAGTTATTTTTATCTTTTATTAAGAGACGAAGCTTGGCTCCTTCAACAGTCAGTGAAACTTCACCGTCGCCTATGGCGAAACCATGCATTTTGTTGGGTGACGACAAAAAATTACGGGAACGGAAAAGACACAAATTAAACACATCGGAAGTTAGTGCATTATTTCATGAGACTTCGTATAATATATCTATGACTTATCAAAGTTTTCCGAATTAATCCATGAAGATACTGGATGTTTTTTTTTCAAGTTGTGAAACAATCAATCACTTCACACTTGCTTTTGTATTGAGTTTTGTTCTTTAATCTGATCCATGAAATTACGGCTAACTTGCGCCTGCAGCTGTCTGCCTAGACATGTTGGTGTGTGACCTACCCGTAGCTCCGAATATGTGTGGGACAGATTGCGCAACACATATCGGTCCACGGGAGAGCCACATATTGACTGATTCGATCTTCCCGCCATTGCTGACCTCTCTTCATTATGATGTGATACCATATAGTAGCTCTCTTTCTGAGTGCTATGCAGTGCATTCAAGTTGTTGATTACTATTTGTCGCAGGTTCTTAAATCCCTGTTATTTCATTACTCTATATCTGTTCTTCCTTTTCTCGGGAAACTTTCGAGAGATGTTCATTGTAAGACCCATTCCGTACACTTCATACCGGAGATATTTGACATTTTTGCCCGCCAAGGTCATTGCTCGGAATGTATTATGTCCAGTTTCTGTTTTATCTGATTGTAATGGAATTTGTAACTTCATCTTTCCTAACTGAAATCAACATGTTGGTTAAACCTAATTTGATAATACTGTTTTATTTCTGGAATGCTCCTTATTCACTTAGCATCATCAGTGTAATACGTGTAAATTAGTGCTCAGGAAAGTGAGGGCTCTGTTTTATAGTATTTAGGGGCCGTGGAAACATCATCATTTATTTGATTTCTCCTAATACAGTTTTCGACTTCACAATAGAGTGCTGTTGAATACGTATTTTCAGAATGATGGAAATCCCGATCGAAATGAGCTTCGAAGTCCATACCGTAAAGTCTTAATCGCGGTTTTCGATGATGTGATGCAAAAGGAACAAGGTTTTCACGAAGAAATGATTAGCAGGCTTCTCAGCAAACCTTTCAAAATCCCCATTCCTGATTACAGAAGTAACTGCCGTCTCTGTATAATTCTTTTTTATTGTGTTTTGAACTCGTTGAAATTGAGTAGTTGTCCCATAAAAGCAAGTGTCACTGCACATCGGCATGGCGGCTGTCGGTTAACCCGTAGTTTCGAACATGTGTTAGTGTATTTGATAACACATGTCGGTTCTCGGGTCAATTGCTTACTAGCCGTAATTCCGAGCCGATATCCATTGCCACTATCTACCCGATTTATGTATGTGCTTTAACATTATCAGTAATATGTGATTCTTTCATTTTTGATCGTCATTGCATTTTGGAGAGTTAGCAATTACGGAAAGGACCATTGAATAACTGGATCTATTTTACATTGACAGGTCCTGGCAGGGCTCGTCCTCTTGGCCTGCGTCATTCAGCAGTTCGCTGTGCACTGTTCGACCCATATGCTGAAGGAGCATTGGTGCTGTTCACACCACCGGAACTTAGTGCACATGATGCACTTAAACTTGATGCTACTAACAAGCAGGTGAATATCACTCCACTTTTCAGTTGGTTGATGATTTCCTATAAATTTAAATTACCAAGCTATAAATTAGTATGAACTAACATGCTTGCCTGTTTTGGCGTTTTAGTCTGAATGTGTTACTGTCTTATTGTAAGGCAGTTGTGAAGTTCAAATTCTTCGCTGACAGAAATTTGGGATTTTTGCGGCTGCATCAAAACCTGACGTCCCAACGTGTTAGTGTTTAAGGAATTTATGAAAAGTTGAGATATTTAAAATTAAATTGAAAGGTACACATTGTGGTGGATCCAATGCTGAGTGCCATTCTGCGACCTCATCAACGGGAAGGTGTGAAATTTATGTATGATTGTGTCACCGGTGTTCGCATACCTTCCGCTCATGGTTGTATCATGGCAGATGAAATGGGTTTGGGCAAAACGCTGCAGTGTATCACGCTGATGTGGACGTTACTCGTACGTCTGTTATCATGTTAATAATAGAAGACCTGTGATATGTATATATTATATAGTATTAGCCAAAGATTTGCAATGCATAGAAATGGTCCATCGTGGTGGAAGATATCCTATAACAAACACAAGCAACCGGATAACGTTGTATTATGTTATCTGGCTAAGTTGCTCATCTTTAAAGTTTGCAGTCTAAACGTGTAAGTGGATGCTGAAAAGGAAAGAGGTAATAAATGAGCTGGTTTGAGTGATAAAGCGTGACATCTAGGAGGAAGCAAAAGGCTGGAAACAAATGAAAGAATGAATAGAGTTTATATTTCTGAAGTGAATCTCACGAAAATTTCTGTGGGGCCAGTTTCGCCCTGACAAATATGTTTGGATCATAGGAAAGTCGTAAATATCAAACTTTTGATTTGAACTTTTATTAATAAAGACTAAAGACAACGAAATGAGTAGGAATTCAATAATCTTTATTCTACTGAAGCAAGTCCGATTGGATGGGATTGTTCAAGTTCCAAAAAATTACTTCAGAGACAAGGACCGGATGCAAAACCGACATTGAATAAGGCAGTGATCGTTTGTCCGAGCAGTCTTGTCAAGGTTAACCTTTGCTTTGCTCATTTTGGGTACACTTATGCTTGCATTTTGACGTTGGGATAAAGATACAAGCAAAGACTTATGTACCTGAGGATTATACCTCATTCCAGAAAATGTATAAATATTAAAACATTCTATACCTTCATCAAACAAAAAAGTGCACGGTTATCTGGTTTATCAATCAGCGTTCTGTAATGCAGTTTTGAAAACGGGGTTTTGTTTTTTGAAAAGTTGCATTTAGACGTCAATAAAAAATACACTTTAGTATTTCAGAAAGTTCATATCTCAGATACCATGTAATTGGTTGACTCAAACTAAAGATTTGCGAATTTTCAGAATTGGGATAAAGAAATTAGGAAGTGGCTCGGCGGACGAGTGAACGCATTACCCGTTGATTCGGGCGGGAAAGATGAAATTGACAGGAATTTAGGTTTGTCTGATACATTTTAGGATCCATTCAAGTGTTTAGCTGTCGTTATGAAACAATGTATTTGAGCAAATGTTAGCAGAGGTGAACAAAAAATCGTTTTTTTTAGAAATAATAGTGGAAATCATTGGGTAAGATATCTTTATTTACGATATTTTAGAAAAGTTTATGTCTCAAATGGGTGTGCGTTGTCCTACACCTGTGCTCATTATTTCCTATGAAACTTTTCGGCTCCATGCTTCCATTCTGTTGCAGAAGGAAATTGGATTAATCATTTGCGACGAGGTTTGTTATATCTTTTAGTATCTTCACTCTTCTTATCTGTAAAATGTAGTCATTCTGATAGTTCCAGTCTTTCGTATTGTATTCAGGTAATCTTTTACATTGGTTACCCATATTCTGAAACTCCGTAGTCGTGGTTTCATTTCACATTCACACCACTTTTAGTTGGTAGCAGCTAGCTGATAAATTATTATCTATCTTCGCTCCTTAATTTTTTTTCCCAAACACTTTTTTAAAGTCATTTCGAGACTACTATTAGTGGCAGTCTCAATTCCTATGCCGCAAAAGAAGAAAAAAAAACTTCCGGATTCTATTATCCTTTCATATTTTGTGCCTTTTCTTATTCCATTGCACTATATTGATTTATGTCTCTACTTTTTTATTACCCATTCATGCATTATGCGTCGGTTATCAGGTTTATTTATAAAACTTATCATCTCAGGGTCACCGACTGAAAAATAGTGACAATCAAACATATCAAGCACTCTTCGGTTTAAAATGTGAGCGACGAGTACTTATTTCTGGCACTCCAATACAAAATGATCTCTTAGAATATTACAGGTTGCGACATCTTTAAAACTTTCTGTGAATCCGAAGAACAGTTTTACTTGAGGATCATTTGTCGAATCTATCAAGATTATATGGCAGTTCATTAATGATGAATCCGATACAGTCACTTCAAGACTAACTGTAATTCAGAAAATTATCCCACTCAATCAAAATTTTCATTTACATCTGCTTCTAGTTTGATAAATTTTGTCAATCCTGGCTTGCTTGGAACAGCCTCAGAATTTAAACGACGTTTTGAAAATATTATTCTCCGAGGCAGAGATGCTGATGCTACAGATGCTCAGCGCGAAAAAGGTGACGCTGCACTTACCGAGATGTCATCCATTGTGAGTAGGTGTGTCATCAGAAGAACATCCGCATTGCTCACGAAGTATTTGCCGGTACAGTATTTCGTCTACTTCAAAAACGTATGCCAAGCGTTATTATTAATTCGTTTGCTGTATACCCTTTCCAGTAAATTTATTTATTTTAGGTGAAATACGAACTTATTATTTGTTGTAAGCTGACGGAACTGCAGGAGAAGTTGTACAGGCAACTTATTAGTACATTTTCGATGGGTGGAAAGCAGAAAGTAACTGAAGGCAAGTATTAACTTCTGTTTTCTTTTTTTTCTTTTTCCAACCACATATTGGAAAAGGACCAGGATAGATTGTTGTAGGATTAACAGTTGTATAGTCCAGAGTGTTTTCGTTTTCAGGTGATAAAATAACGGGAACCGCTCTCTCATTCATTACGAACTTGAAGAAATTATGTAATCATCCGCAGCTGATATTTAACAAATGCCAGAAGAAAGAGGAAGGATTTGAAGGTTTTATTTGGCAGCAATCAAAGATATCCATATAATTTGCCGATGCTGACTATAGTAACTCATCGTACTAATAATTGTCAACTGCGTATAGAAGTTTTTTAGGTTGCTTGAAACTGTTTCCTGGAGAGTTTGGCAGAAAGTTCGAGCCGGCATTTTCTGGAAAAATGAAAGTTCTGGACTACTTGTTAGCAGCGACAAGAACCACTACAAATGATAAATTTGTTTTGGTGTCTAATTATACACAAACGATTGATGCATTTGTTGAAGTATGCTTCAAAATTCATATATTTCAGTATTTTAAATGGACCACTCTTCATCTTTATAGTGATATATACCTTACGAATCACATAGAAATAGTATAGAATCATATGGTGGAACTTTAGTACTCTTTATCATGATATTAAAGTAATTTTGTAGGTCAGTTTGTGTCGAAATTAGGAAGTTGGTGAAAGAAGCTCGTTTGATCTGAAGGCTCATTTGTCCAAATTATTTATAGCAGCCCATTTGTGGAAATGGTATGTAGAAGCAGAAGAAAATGAACATTAAATATGCAGATCGATGGTGATGTTGTGACTGTGTAGAGATTTTTCAGCTGTGCCAGCTTCGTCGCTATCCGTATATTCGTTTGGATGGAACTTGTACAATTAAACAGCGAGCAAAATTAGTAGAGAAATTCAACGACCCCAAGGTTACATTTAATTAATCCGAGAATTATAATTATGTGGAGCGTACAAAATTCATAATTCAATTTCTCATGAGATGATGACGTTCTGAATCATCCTGAATTTTTGAATCATATCTGAATGATGAAAGTAGCCGAAAATATTACAAGGACACTACTACAAATGAATGGGAGAAACAAAATTGACAGACAGACATGAAAGGACATATTTAGATATGAAAATTTCGTTCATTTTCCAAAATCATAATAGCGAACAAAGTCAGTAGAGTTACATTCCAGAGTGTCGAGTATGTATTTCTATTATCATCGAAAGCGGGTGGCTGTGGTTTAAATTTGATTGGTGCAAATCGGCTTATAATGTTTGATCCGGATTGGAACCCAGCAAATGATGATCAGGCGATGGCTCGAGTATGGAGGGATGGGCAGAGGAAGAACTGTTTCATCTATCGGTTGTTAGCGGTAAAATTTTGACGAAATTTAATATTTGCTTCCTATATTCCTATGTTTGTCTATTTTTATGCTTTTCCATACATTCATATTTAGCAGAGAAGCCACACTGCAATGTGATTTCGAGATAGTTGGAAAAGCCAAGAAATTTTCCAAGCAGAAAAGTAGGACAGTTGAAAATGGTACCCAACAACTAACACAATTAATCTTATTCGTTTGCTAAATATATTTTAATTTTTTGTTTTTCTAAGTGGTAACCGGATAGAGATCAAAGTTACACAACAAATGTGTTGTAATTGTTGGTCAGAATTTCTGTTATTGAGATATGCTTATGCAGTTTGTAAGTAAATGAAGCTAGGAGCAATATAAAGCATTTATTAAGCACATGTCAATACAGGAATAATTGCGATTTTATATTGAGAAATTTTATATGTTGAGAAATTTGATTTTATATATTGAGAAATTTATATATCTTTAGTTGAAGTATAGTAAATTTTTTTTGTGTATGTGGTAAGAATTAGGAGTGAAAATAAAATATGAATGAGTGATGAAATTTGGAACGAAGAATTAATTTGTGCGCAGAGGCTATTATGATAAACCCTGAATGAATTGCTGGACGATCCCAGAGAAGTAATTATCACCATCAGCCGTCGATGTTGGCAATGCAAAGTTGAGGATTAGACTACTGCTTGGTCAAGAGGAAGATTAAGCCTTAAAATGAGTGCTATTGTAGATAGTGTAATAACTGCTAGATATCAGTACTGCTGTCACTAACGTAGTTGGGTGGGATGTTTCAATCCTGGATTTGGTAAATCTCAACGCTTTCAGGAGATTTGTAAAACCGAAGAAGATATGAAAAGTATGTAAAAATAGGCTTGTGAATTACCTTGAGATCATTTTCGAATAATTAGTTAAACTGCTTGAGAGAAAGAAGACCAAACCTTTTTTATTGAAAAAAGAAATTTAGGTGGAAGAGTGAAAGGATATTAGCCATAGATGTTTGCTTAGTTCAACTTATTCTACCCAATTCTTTCTTTAAAACTTTTGGTTGCAAGTTTGAAAACCTTTTACCCTGGCATATTTCGATTAAACACTAGTTTCATCTGAAAATAATGCAATCGATGTAACTGGGAATAAGCATCAATGGTATAATAGTGCGATAAACTTGAACTATACCAATTGGGATAGATATGAATACGCTATCACATAATAGATTAATAAAGTTTAGAAGCCTTCTTTTATTTAAAAACTATACGTAAGAAACATGGATGGCGCAGAGAACAACTAAATGCGGACGTAGTGAAAAGAAAACCTAAAATGACCGGGAAGAATGACTTGTAGTGAAAGGACTGAATGATAGAACCACCGAGAGGCGCTATTTCATATTTCATGTCATTTTATTTCATATTGCGGATCCTTTTGGAAAACATTTTCAAATACAAATTGGTAACCTTGATTTTGATGACGTAATAACATGCAGGTAATCTTATCTACAGAGCGGTAGCATCGAGGAAAAAATGTTTCAACGACAGGCGCACAAGAAAGCTCTGTCGTCCTGTGTAATTGACGAAGCTTCCGATGTGGCACGGCACTTTAGCAAGGACCAATTGCGCCATTTATTTGATTTGAAAGCAGATATCGCATCAGATACGCATCATTCGTGGGTTTTCATTTCTGGCAGTTGGTGAAGTTTCCAAATATTCCTAATAAGATTATGTGACATTTTTCAGAAGAGAGATTTGCGTCTATATGCAATCAGAAAATATTTCACATGATTATTGTTACTGAAAATATTGGTTCAAATATCCGGCTGAGTTGTATTGAATTGATAATTTATTCCTAGATTAAAATGTAACCGGTGCGTAAATGGTGTCGAATACAGGGAGCCTCATGAGGAGGCTGATACGAATTCTGATCTCAGTGATTGGTATCATGTTCAGAAAGATGTACGCAAAGTGCCGGATAAAGTGAGCTTTCTGATATTTCTTGATGCACATCTATTTATAGAGTACTATTAGTTGAAGTGCCATTTCATATCAAAGTTTAAGTTAGAAAGTTGTATTAAAATGGTGAGAAGTAGTCGGGTTTAATTCTTCGCAATTTTTTTTCCATCATCAGTTAAAGCCGATAACTGTAGGCATAAGAATTTTCAGGTACTGAAAAGAGTTTTTGACTGTGGGGTCATTACATTTGTCTTTCATCAGAAGTCTCACGACGCAAGGAACGAAATAGTAAAGGAAGAAAACGAAATCAAAGAGGATGATTTGTTGATCGGGCAAGATGAGAGCTGAAATTTTGCCCTATTTCACTTTTTTTTTCCTCGATTTTTCAATATTTCCTAGTTTTTTATCTTATTTGCATACCGCTTATAAATTGTATAAAATGGATATCTCGTATCCGCTTTGCACAGACGCCAACCAAGTACTCCTCGCTGTAAAGAATTGTGACGGCGTTAATGTGCTCGAAGTTAGATTAGAAGTAATCGCTAAGTGAATCTCTGAAATGTTCAAAGAAGTTATGAGGCAGTTCTTTCCTGGGAATTCTTCCATCTTTATGCACGGTTTTTACTATAGTTCGATGAAAAAGCCAAGCTTTTGAACTCCCAAATCTTTGCCATGTACAAAGCGAGAGCAGGAAAAAATCATAGAAATGGAAAATGCAATCGAATTTCCACTGTAGTGAATATAGAGTACATATGTATAGGGTACGGTACGTATGTACGTACATACTAAACGATCAACGGAAGTTTAGCCTTGCTATTATTGCAAATATTATCAGAGGGAAAAAGTGGAGTAATAATAGAGATGTTAGTTGATGGTCAGTAGCAGTGGTACTATTTTTACTGGATCCCCGATGCGATTCAAGGCTGATATGATGACATCGCTAAACACTGGAATAAAAAATACTCCGACCAATTAGCGCAAGCAGCAAAGGTAATTAGCGCAGGACAGGAGTGTTTACACTAATGAAGGAACTGTGGTGATAGGTACTCCTTTATGTGAAGTAAATGAGTTATTGCATTGACTGTCAAGGCTTCTTATCATAATTCATAAAGTGATGGATGAAGCAGACTAAAACTAAAGCGAAATGGACGATCAGAGAAAATGAAGTTGGAGTAAAGCCGTTGATAGCCGATTTCAAAGAGGAATGATAAGCAGGAAGGATTGGTTTTAGCAATATTTCCTTCATCCTTCCGGATGTCACTTTTCAAAATTATACAAATATGTTTGATAACTGATTGCGGGCGAAAAACAATTGATTACATCGCTTGATAGCGCTCAGTAATCGGAAGTCCTATCATTCGTAGACGGTTCCGATATTCCAAACCAAGCTTAAACTTCATTAAATAGATAAATGAATTGGAAAGCGAAAAGCTTGCGTAATCAATCTAGAAGCTAAACCTTCTCTTGGTTTCAGCTCAAGAAAACAGCTCGATTTTATGAGGAAGAGCTGTTATTTTGCGAGGAACTGGTACAGTGTTAGTGGAAAGCCTGAAAGACTTCCTTGGACATTTGATCTCTAATATGTTGTAACTATTAATCTAAATTCGAGTAATGAGACGAAGGATTACATATTATGCGAGTATGTGAGTAAACAGTGAGAAACAAGAAGTAGTATAAGGAGTTTAACGGATGGCGAAGTAGAATGCTGAACATATTATTCAGTAAGAGACAAAATTTCTCTATATAGCGAAAAAAGCATGAATTATATGATAATGAGAGTGTAATAACATCTAATCAACTCAAAGTAACAGGAAGTACCAAAAACAAAATGTTATCAACAACTGATAGTGAGCACAACTGTGAAGACTACCATCTATTCAGTCCCAATGACCATTTTCAATTGCCGCCAAGAACACTCCTATCACAACCAGATCAGGAAGATCGTAGTTTTCGTTGTGTTCCAGTCATAATCAAACAGACCATTCGCATGATATCTTACTGAGTCTATCACCGTTAGGGTTTGGGCATTTGGGCGTTTGGGTTATTTGTTAAAGTACGTCTGTGTGTCTGCTTCTCTGTATGTTATGTGTGCGTATATGTGTGAATGTGTGCTGCTTACAACTGATTTTTGTTCAAGGCGGTGTGGTTGATGAGTAATTCTGTGTGTAGCAATTTCATTTTTCCTTGTGGCCGCGATTTTTTTCTTAGGCTTTGCGATAGTTGTTAACGAGGGATTAGTAGTGAGAAAATATATAAATCATTATCATCTTTGTTATCATATCATTAACAGTTACAAATGTGTGATGAAAGTGAACCGTCTATTGGGGGTCGTCCCATTTCGGAGATGAAAGTGGTGGAGTTAAAAGAGGAACTGGGAAAACGAGGATTATCGAAAATTGGCAACAAGAACGCTCTTCATGAACGACTCAAAGAGGTTAGCATTTTTTTCTCTTTTCCTACCTCACTTTCAACTTCCTCTCTTTCGTTTGATGAGTTCATGAACTGCTATAATTATCTGATATTCGTCTCCCTAATCATTCTTGCATCTCTACCAATGGGGGAAGGAGGGAGGGGAAGAGGAGGGGTGGTATCTGTGGTTTTTGGTTTTGTTGGTGACCCAGTATCTTTATAGGATTTTAGCGGTGATCGAATTATCTTACTGCGATTCTGGGGGATCTGATATCTTCTGGACCTGGGAATATTTTGAGGGTAGATCCGGGTATTGATAACTGGAAAGGAAACAATAATCACATTAAGTTCTTCCGTCGTCGATATACCGATAACTCAGAAATCTACTGGAATCAAAACATAGTGAAATGGCCATTTCTTATTAGCCAAACAGTTTAGTAGAGCTTTTATTTGCTGATGTGTTATCGTCATAAAACCAGCTGTAAGGCTTAATTCGAAAATTGCATAAGCATACTTTTAACTTACGGTTCATCTTTTGGTATGGTCTTTTAGTATTATTTCTTTCTGTTTGCTTGCTTTCGCCTTCCTTACTTATTATTTTCCTTATCAGTTTGTCATTTCTTGACTTCTCTCCCTTACCTGTTGTCTTTTGTTTACAACTTGCCAGAAATTTCAGTATTTGCTGACAGAAGTGAATGCCAAGTATGAGAACGAGGTACAGTCAACAGCTGTAGAAAGTCCACAAAGAGATTTGGTAAGTAAATCCCAAGTCACATTGAAATATTTTCAAGAATTCATTTAATTATTTCAGATAATTTATGTAATTTTTTTCATTCCTTGACTTGTCTTTCTTACCTATTTTCTTTAATAATTAAAAAGCCAACCTTGCAGACTTCACCACCCAATCCACTGGTTGCAGAATATTTAGCCAAACAGCAGACTGCTTTGCGTGAAGCACGCAAAGATGCAGGTTTGTCATTTTCCGATGTTTGATTTGGTGTATGACTTGGTGTGTGGTGGTGTATAATGTCGTATTTCATAGTTCCAAAATTTATCATTATGAATTGAATGACCAAATAAGTGATATCAGTGGATGGACATAATTTGCAGAAGCAGTACGCAGAGCTTCGTCTGGAGATGATGCGTCGCCGATACGTGAGAAGTCTGTTTCTGGTATGCGTCGTTCTCGACGTGGACGTAGTTCAGCTACTGTTGAAAAACCTGCAGAATTCGTGGTGACTAGTGAAACTGAACAGGTCTTAACTTATAGCAGTACAATATACATGCTTTAATTGGTTGACATCTGACAGTTAAACTAGAACGAAATAATGATTGAATTAGACGAACCCTCATGAAATAGCTGGACAAACATCCATTTCAAGTTAGGCATTTTTACTTCATATTCTTCTTAAAGGATCCGATGGAAGCGGACAGTTTTCAAGAAAGTGTGGAGGCGCAGTTGAAAAGCCATAATAACGTAGAGGAAACTGAGAATGACAGCAGTGCACCACTTGAAGTTTTAAAGAAGGAAACAGACGACGGCGTCGATTCCGTGTCGACGGCTGTAAAGGTGAAGACATCGGAAGAAATCAAACGAACAAAAACGGAACATGATGAAAGAAGACTGGCCAGCGGTCAGCAGTCGGTGGATCCGGGAGAGAGATGGCCAGCAAGTACTAAGAATGTCAGTGAAGAGCATGAATTACAAAAGAAACATGAAGACAATGATGAAGAAGAGGATGCAGTGTCGGATGTGGCTAGCAGTGACATGGGGACATCAAGGTTCTCATCATCATTTCTTGGTATATTCGGGCAAGAGACTTTTAATAACCAAGCTTTATGGGAAGATATGTGAAAGTCAATCGCGTGCTATGGGATGAAATTCATTGCTTTTGGTGAGATTGTGCCTTGGGTGTGGAGCAAACCGAACTTTTGGCTCCCCAGAATCGATTTGTTTATTTATAAGAACTACTGTTGTTAATTTGTGTTTTTTCTAGCCAAAGTCGAAGTGAGGCAGCAGATGAATCAAACGCATCTTGGGAACAGATGCCTGTAGATCTGGAGGAATTGTCGAATCAAGAAGTGGTAAGCTGATAAATTAGCTATATTTCAGATGCGTTCAGAAATGAAGAGGTGATATTCTCATTCGAGTAATACATCTGGAAGGCTATCAAATTATCGTTGTAGTTCATCAAGATGTATCCAATAACTTTGTGACTATTGGTCCTTGTTTAAATATAGTTTGGAATGCTGTTATCTGCCGTAAAATAACCATGAGTAGTACGCTGTTAGAACTAAGGTGTCATTTCCTTCCTTGCTAATTTAATTTCTTCATTATTTGTAGTTTTATGTTTACAGATGCAATCAGTCGACGATACATCAGTGAAGAAGACTGTAGAGGGCACAAAGGAAACTACAGCTATGCAGATTAAAAGCAAGTTTCTCTCCCCCGTATTGTCGAAATTAGTGCGTTGGTTCCCTTCTTTCTTACTATAAATAGTGTGTCATTGTGTTGATAAGAAGCATACTGTATACAAATACTGGAGTGGTTTCCAGGCCCTCAGATTCCTACCACTTTGCGAGATCCTCACATCGCTTGGTTACCGTTTGCAGTTAAATTATCAGTTCAGCACTTTTTATTTCAGCAAAAGTAGCTTTCACCCAAGAGAAAAAGCGTCGTTGGAAACCATCTGAAACAACGCAATCTACAAACAGTGTCGTCAAGATTTCAGTGGTAAAACATAAGGAAGAGGAAATTGAAATAGATGAACAAGAAGATACAGCCGACCCTCACGCTTCTGCTGTATCCGATTTCAAAGAAGAGTTGTCCGAGACAAAAGATAGAATGGAAGAGTTAGATTACGAAGAACCTGTGCAAAGTTCGATTGCCGAAGTAGCTGAGGAAGTTAAAGTGATGAATAAATTTGATTTGAAAGAAATGTGTTCTTGTAAAGCTTCACGTAGACTTCTTATGGAGTAGTTGTATCAAGTTGTTTATGTGGCGTTAATGTCAAATGCTTCTGATGAGACATATTGCAGGCTGCTGAAGAAATATCTAAAAGATGCAAAGAGAGAATATTCGAAAGAGTCGAGAGACACGCAAAACGCTCAGGTTCGTATATTTCAAACAGGGGTTCTTGTTACTGAGTAAACCGTTATTTAATTTGTTTCGAAACTTATCGACTGACGGAGAAAAATCGAAGTGGCTTGTGTGAAATGGTCATTATAGTTGGATATAGTGAACGTGTTAGGTGAATATAGTAAACATGCATCATAACTGCAAGAAATCTGATTCATGAAATTAGGAGATTAAAGGTATTGATGACCAGCAAATCACTATCAATTTAATCAGTAGAACGGGGACATTGTAAGGTTCTGATTATCAGCTTTTGATAGGACATTCCTGCGTGACTATATTAGACATTAAGTAGCTGCATTATCAAATGTTGGATCGAGCTTGTTATCTGGTACTCACCTTGTCAACTTTTCTTGAAAGTTCTAAAGTCTTACGAGGTCCTTTTTAATATCTTTAATTGTGGATTTCTGCTTTGCTTCAAATTAAGACTGCTATCCAGTTTGCATATTTTTCCATTCATCTTCAGCTATTTAGGATAATTTAAAAGGATTAACTTTGGTGTTGGGGTTTGTCGCCATATATTACCTAACTGTTTTCCATTCACCTAATTGAAAATGCTTTATTTCTTCAGGGACATCATGTGTATCGAAGCGTTCACCGACTCCAGATAAACAACTAGATAGCCATACAACAGTTGATGGTTTCGTGCGTGAACGAAGAGTGTCACCAGCGCGATATCCAGTTAATCAGGTCAGTCAGCGCTCAAATAATTGTGTAACTCAATTGAGATTATGGATTGCATGCTTGAATTTGCAATTGTTTAAGATTTTTTGTATTTAAGATTTTTCAGTTATTCAAGGTTTTTTTGTTATAAAGATTCGTTTTCCTATTTCTGTTATTAATTTATATAGTTTTATAAACGAATAAAAAACCATAATTTATATCCGACTTTTACACCTATGTATTGCTTCTAGGTAATAATGATAAGACAGCTTACTCGACCTTATACAGTTAAGCAGCTACAGCAACTGCTTTCAACTTTCGGTACAATAGTTGAAGGGGGTTTCTGGATCGATAATATCAAATCCACATGCATTGCAAAAGTAATTTTCCTGATAATTTAAATATAAAACAAAGATTATTTTTACACTCTACTTGGAGCTGTTATTGCGTGATGTAATTTTTTTTTCCAGTACTCAACTGTGGAAGAAGCTGTCGTGGCCCGAGGACGCCTCCATAATGTTGTATGGCCACCTTCTAGTCCAAAAACTTTAAAAATCGACTATTCAGATGATGCAAATGTAAGGATTATTCGTCCATAGTGTTTAAAATCGGTGGCTATGTGGATTTTCTCTAATTCTGATATTTTGAGCTTTCACATTGCAGCTTACTAAACATCTCATTGCCGATCAGTCACAAAATGAAGAAATAACGAAAGGAAACGTAGAAACAGCGAAGTCAGGGAATTCAGCTCCGACTCTTCGTGTATCATTATCTGTTGATGAAAAGCGTAGGCATGTACTACCAACTACTCAAGATGAGTCAGCAAAAGATTTTGATAAAAGAGAACGAGATGGACGCGGACACGAACGCCGAGGACGCAAGCGTTCGGCTTCACCAGTAGGGGTATTAATCTTTCAAATTCATATATTTCGAAGAAACTTTTCATGTCAGATCCCTTGGTCACATTGGGTCATTTTTGTATTCTTTTTGTTTTATATCCGACAAGTTAATGTCGAACGCTGATATCAAAGCGTTGTTTGAAGAATTTTTTTTACTCTTTTTCAAAATTCTACGTCACAGCATTCGGAGACGAAACGGGCTCGTGAACGAAGATCGCCATGGAGAGATGAACGTCATCATACTGCTTCACCTGAATTCAAACCGAACGGTTAGTTTTGTACATTTTTTGCTACTTTCATATTAATGCTTAAATTAGTAGAAGTAATAGTGAAATTGCTTCAGTAAAATGCTTCTCTTTCCTTCATTTACAGAACCGGAGAAGCGTGTCAAAACGGCGGACGAATTATTTTTGAAGACAAAAACTCAGCCGGCTGTTTATTATTTACCGTTAACTGAAGAACAGGTTCATTTTAGCGTACTAAAATTTTACATGCTGGCCTCTCTCCGAACGACGTATTTGCACGTATACGTGTTGATCATACATATTTTACTACATCATCCCTTGCACATTTCTATATGCCTGAGTAGGTTATCGATGATGAATATCGCGCATGTTATATGAGATTCATACAGTTATTTTTCACTGTATCACTAGTTTAGATTATTGAACGCACCAAACGAAAAGCTGTAGAAGCTGAACTGGTCAAGAAAGTTGCCCAAAATGGGACCACAAAGCGAAAAGAGAAAAATGAGCCAGCGAAGGAAAAAACTAGCACGAGCAAACGTGTCAGCGCTAGATCTCCACCGTCACGTCGACGCTCACGTACCCCACCATCTCGTCGGCGATCACATACTCCTGGGGGGCAACGTGATCGGCGGCATTCCAGATCCCGATCACCGCGCCGCCGTCGTTAGGTCGTCGCGCCCGTAAGGTGACAAATGATGCAGCCAGTATTTTAAACTTTCTAATCTTTTTTATTTGCCCTTTGTTTCACTTCATAAGGTATTTAACTCTGCATTTTGAAGCTTTTTTTTTGGTTTTTACTTACCTATACCACTCTTCATTTTCCTGTGCTGAAAATCTGATCCCTAGCTGCCAAAATTTCAATAGTTCCGCTGCTCATCTCGTCTACCTTTCCTTCCTTTCACTACCATGTTTTCATTTTCCCTCCCTTAATGCCTGATATCTTACGTATCTTTTGCTTATATAGCTCCTTATTTAAGGTACAGAATTCCCTCTACCTTTTATTTTTGTTGAAATTGCTCGTCAGGCCTTCAGAATACGCTGCAGTTAATGTTTGCGGAGCAAGCACAGGACTGATGAGCAGAAATGGAGGTGATGTCGTGAACAAACTATGAGACGCGGTCTCATCGCAGCTTCCTCTGAAATCTTCATCGAATGCGCAGGAAAAAACGATTTACATGAAAGCCTGGTTCAACAGCGAAAGCTACATCATCACAAGGTCTCAACCTGCTCGATACAGCAGTACCAAAAAGAAGACATTGTTAAAGCATTGATTTGCATTAAATCTGACGTTACTAGTTGTGGTTCACTGGGCGTACAGTATTGCCAATGGGTGTCGCTCATTCGGCTCACGTATGGTTGATTGTACGGCTGCACATATCGTTGTTAAGCGTATGGTTCTTAGTTTGTTTTCTAATAAAGTATTTTTGTGCCATTACACTGTAATCTTTGTGAAAAAAGCTCTTACGACTTTACACTGTACAATCTCATGTTTCGTTTCTTAACATTCCTTTTTCATAATAATTCACAAACAGTGCAATCGAACATCCTATGTTCACAGCAATGCAGCCATGTCTTGTCGAGTAAAGCATCATTGAGGTCCGATGTATGCGAATCAGAATATAGCCACTTTGAAAGCAGAAGCATCTTCAGAAGAAGGTATTTTCTTTCGGGGATTGATTTCCCTTGATAACTAAGGGAAATTACTCTTCAGGGTTGGATTGCTTTTCTTGTCTTAGCATATATTTTTGCTGGCTTATTGATGATCGCAATTGATATAACCGTTATTACTTTTTTCGGACTACCTAACATCATGTGACAAGCTTGGATTGAGAGTTGTATGGTAGTCTAAGGATTTCACAAATTCTTATGTGAGATGATCATTAGCTGATGGATCACCCAAAGGTGATTCGGTGTCTGGAATCTTTCTGGATATTATTGAAACGACGGATCGTTGATCCAAATATTCCTTCGTTAATAAGAAGCCCAGGTTTAATGTTCTGGTAGCATACTGTTCCACTTCATACAGTCAAAGTCTTATACTAATGATGAGATCATAGACTATTGTTAGATCAATATGTTACTGCACTGGGCATGAAGCGCATTTTATCATAATCGAGTTTATAAAGTCTTTTAAGATAAGGATAGTTGCGTAAGGCACTATCACAGAACATTCAAAAGTAGTGCTTCTATGTATATTTTCTATTTCATATTATTCCGTTTTTTTTTAGCATATCTTGTTTGGTCACATGCAATTCTTGTTTACTTATTTTTTGATTAAAAATTTCCAGGTTGAAAAAAAGGATTGGAGAAAGAGATTGAAAATCGTTGCAGTAGAATTCATTAGATAGTTGAAAGGATTTGTCTCTCTCTTTGTAAAAGTCTTTATAGAGCCAAGGTTCTCGGAATCTTTTTACAGGTGATGTCAAAGGAAGATAAAGTTTGCTTCCGGGAACTAACTTTGTTAGCTGCCTATGATTAATTCATTCTGTCTACCGATAATTGATAAATCGAACAGATGGAGGAGTCGTCAGTAATTAGATGATAAATATGATTGGTTAAAAGAGAAAATGATTCCCTACTAAAATTTCTTAAAGAATTCCAGTAACATTCAGATTCAAACACGTGACTTTCTGTTGGAAAAGTATCGAATTTTTTATCAAAAATCAAAAATGAAAAAAATCCACAAAAATAAGCGATGAAAATTGGAAATTGCAGTAAAATTTCCATGATTTTGTGAAAAAGAGTGATCATACAAAGTGAGAAAACTGAATTTGTTCATCAGACAGATTATTTGACCTTTAATTTCTCAATTGCTTCACGTGCATATTCAGCATCCTGAAGAATCAATTTCGATAACACTGATTCCACCACCGGTTTCGTTAGATCTGGACCATTAAAATCCAAGCAGATAATGTAATCAACGATAGTTTTTTGAGAATCGTTCGGATGAATTCGAAAACGACCACTACCAAGCAATAAATTACCTCTGAAATATGATAAGATGTTAAATTTAATACGGTAAAGAACCCACGTCTCATAATATTTGTTAATGAATCTATCAATTTAGAATACTGTTATCTTTCCTTAGTTTTTTTTTTTATCTATCTATTTTACCTAGTCTTTTTCTTATGTCGTTTTACTTCATCAGTATTATAACTTCGCGTTGCTTCGATGATACTATCATCAATGTAACGATAAATGCGTGTTGTCACAAAATCTCGACCCTTCACCAATCCGGAATCCTTCATTGCAAACTATAAATGGTTATCATCATTTTGTGCAGAAATAGATTTAAAATTTATCGTTAAGTATAACATACCGTTTCCGGAAATCTGTGCAATATTCTATTCAGCACATATTGACATTTTCTGTTGGAGATATAATTTCAGGAATAGCAATAACCGTAACATTTTTTAGATTCGAACACTTTTCTTTAAATGTTCATGTGATGACAAAATAATGACAGATCCTGCACGGTGCGGTATCATTAGCGTACGGTATCATTTACGTTATAATATTATAAATAAGTATAAGAAAAAAAAACAAATTGCAATTTACAGATTACGTGAATAATTTCAACGTGTGGTGTAAGCACAGCAATTTTTTCAGCCAATGACGTATTTTTATTCCTGTAGGCTACTTCTTCAAAATTATTCCAATGCTCAAAGAAAAGCTCATCACGTGGCATCTCCAAAATGGTCTAAAAACTTTTTGTTTAAATTACAAAGATGATGAATCATCCCACAATTCTCATTTCTATTCATAATCAAAAGGTGAATTAAAACTTATATATATACAGGTAAAAAGAAGGATGAAGACAATGAAAAGTAAACAAACCCTAAGTGTAAAAATTTTGCCTATTGCAAATCTTTTTGTGTATATTTTATCCACTTTATTTTCACCTTTCAACTTCCAACCTTCCATTGTTTCAAATTCAGGCGTATTTATAATATTTAACGTTGCATTCATCACATCTTCTGCATCATTTAACGCTTTTTCATACTGTAACCAGAAACATTCACTTCTTACCGTATACTAAGCAATAATTTTCATAAACCAACACAAACTATATTCCATAACTCTATTTTATATTCTTCCAAAATATTTATTCTGCACATTTTTCATGCTAAAGATATGTCATGTATGTTTAATTTTATATATATTTATTATTAAAAGTGTAATTTAACTCATTTATATGTATTATTAAGATATGCTTATATTATTAACATTATAACTTAACTTATATTAACACGTTGAACAGATTATGTCGTATGAAGATAAAATAAATCCAATGAATAAAATGGTCAAGTATTCTGTAAATATCAGAAACACATACAAACCTTTCTGTGTTCCGGTTTAAGGATATCGGTCACATTGGCAACAGTAATTGAAATCGTCATTGTTATCGTTTATTTTTGTAATGAATTAAAATTGGTATGATTGGGTGGATGAGTTGTTGGAATGTGTCGATGATATTCCACAGTCTCTGTTATACGAAGTGATAACGATTAATGATACATTTTGGGAATTTTATCATTTACTTCGATTGTTGAATATTCTAGACTTAGATCGTTGAATATCTTAGATAATAATGGTTTTGAATTTTGGAAAATTGTAAAATTGTTCCTTTAACCAAAAAAAAAAAAAACCAACATAGAGAGAGGACAGTAATAGTAATTAATTAGTCTACTTCTGAGGCGTGATATAAAGTTTAATTAAAGAGGTTGCCAATAACTTCAAGATCGAAGTATATCTGTAGCGAAAATTTTAAATACTATTCGAAAAAATACGTACGACAAGCCATTTTAACACAAATTCAGTGGAATATCATGACACATGTGACAATATCGACGTATATAAACGAAAATGTCATTGAATACAACAAAACAAGAATAGTGACACTTTTTTTTTTGTCGCCCGAAAAGACATTATGGGTATTCTATAGAAGTGTAACAATGATCAGTGTTGAAAAAGTGCTGTTAATCAAATTGTTTCGATTCTTTCTTCTCGAAATCTTATTATTATTAACCAAAAATGACAAATTCTATGCTGGATGTATTGGCGAGAATTCCGAGATAACTCAAGAAAAGCTTTCTAGAAAAATTCAAGAATTAAAATGATAGGTTGAAGATATTTTGTCATTCGTTTTTTTTTTTGTTGACTGTTTGCTTTCATCTATTTATCTAGATTTCCCGCATTGTATCCGCGGTGATCGTATCGATGTCACAATTGCAATACCATAAGTATGGTAATGTGTTACTGTAATGCATATATATATATATGTGTGTCTATGTATGCATGTATGTAGGTATGAACATTTTAAATTTAAAATTTTATTATAATCAATGCATCGATGAATTGCAACATTTCCATCAATAAATTCCGTTTGTCATACACTTTTTGTCACAGTTGTTTTTATTTGTTATAACAGGACTAGAGTGTGCTGTTCATTAGAATCAATTTAAAAGAAAAAATTAACTAATTTACAAACAAATTTAATTTGAAAAGTGAAAAGGAGTGCATTTAATGCGGCATAAATAGAAATGAATAGATTAGGTTGCTGTAATTCTGTCAAATCGCTTTATAGGCCAATTCAACCGTTTTACGAAACATTACAACATTTGAGAAAATGCAAAGGTAAAAGATGACTTTGGGATGGATGACGGTATTACTGGAGAAGTGGACATTTTATAAATTGTCTGTAATGTATACTTGGTACTAGTGAATTCAGCAAATAATAATTTATTTGAGTTGAAATACAAATCACATGTAAAAACATCAATTTATATTGCAAAAGTAGTGAAGAGGATTCCAAGTACAAACGATTTCATCAATCCTGAGATGATTTCAGATTCAATCAATCTCGTTGATTTAAGAGTGACCTCAGGTTCAACTCACTTAGGATACACACTTCCTTACTTTCAATCATTTCCATAAACCTTTCTTGATTTTAAACTTCATCAATTTCAGAGCAATGAGAAAACAAAATTACGTTCGCGATCTTCGTCCCATTTTTGTTGCATTTCAAATTTACCACGCAATTCTTCCCATCGTTGACGTCTTCTGGAACATTGTTTCATTTTATTATACCTCTAACAAAAGATATTAAACAAATCAACTGCTTCGAGAACTCTCCAGAATGACCATAATCACACACTTTTCTGTAATACACTGTTCAACATACAGTAACTGCTTGTGAGCTTCAAATTCCGGATCAGTCTCGGAATCTGATTCGCTAACATCGGATGTATATCGATCAGCTCGGAAAGCAAATGGAGTCAATGATCGATGATTTCCGGATGATGATGGACCATAGTCGGACCAAGATGAATCGTCACTACTGCAATCAATTGAATTAGAAAAAAATGACGTAATGTCACCATGTTTCAGAGTTAATCTAATAGATATCCAGTAATTCCCTTAACATACCTGCAGGCGTCCTGGTATTTCTTTGGTAACGATCCATCTACCTTCTTACAGCTGCATTCTGATATCTTCCGCATTTTTGCGGATTTCTTACGACGTGCTTTTCCGCTTTCCTTCTCCAGTTTCCGTTTCAATGACGAGCTTACCTTTTTCAAGTGCATGAAATTGCAAAATCCACCACGACTACATTCCCTGCAATATATCAAATATCTCGTATCGTCATGAAACTTTCCGGTTCTATTTGTAAGTGAATAGATGTTAAACCTGACCCATTTTCGTATTGTCGACAGCAGGCATCACGGAAATCGGAAACCGGTGACAGCTCACAATGAATAGGTTTACCATCAAACCATCGATTGTTCAAGGCTTTCATTGCATTACTTGCATTAGATTCATGAAGGAACTAAATTGAAATTTCGAACTTCTATCGTTCTTAACCATTCGTATTATTTACCATTAAGCAAATGCAGTACTTAATTTTCTATCATATTATAATCAAGTTACGAATTATTTACTACTTTATTTAATCAACAATGCAGTAATATCATCGTCTTAAATTACCTCAATCAATACTTTAATGAATAATATCTAACTTACTTTAATGTAAACATTGCCAAGCATATGTTCACCAGTATTATCACATACATTCATTTCATCAATTTCACCGTATTTTTCATCAATTTCCAAATAAACTTCACGGAAAAATTCGTCAAATTCACGTTGTTCTCTTTCCTTAGAAAGTTCTGCAAAAGATAATATCTAAGATATCGTCTAATCACAAAGACAGTCTTATCACTTCAAATGTATCATTTTCAAATTATCATTTTCTTCCTATTAATCCTTGACAGAACAGAAATCCATCCCACTTATCTTTAATCACTTCTTACCTAATAATTAACCTAATTTATCCATCAAGATTGTTGACAATATGGTAATGTTACATACCTTGTCGAATGATACCATCAAAATGGTAGAAATTTTTCAATAAAATTGTCTGAAATTATTTGAAATTAATAATTTTTATTTCATAAGAGATTGGCCTTTTATCATTTTTAGTATAAACAAAAAAGAAAAGGTATACAGTTTAAATGGCACTTACTTTACTAGAATTTGGTCGTATGTGAAGCCTAGAACATTTATCACCGTGTCGGCATGCACCAATCTTCAAGTAAAATGAACAATTTACCCTGAAAAAAATTGAGACTTGCAAGCAAAATTTCAATATTTACCTTGAAAAAAAAATTCTTTTAAAATCTACAAATGTCTTAGTCTCGAAATAGTACATATTCATTAAGTAAATTAATAAATATTGTTTACTAAGTAAATCTCTTTTTTTACTTAGTAAATCCCTCAATACTTCAAAACATCTCATCAAGAGATCACAAAGGCTTCAGAATAATTTTTCCTTATCTATCAAAACATTCCATTGACTTAACAGATTAGGACTAGATCTGAAAAAGTGATCGATACAGAGATAAATTTAAACTTTCATATTTCAAAATGCGACGATTTTCTTCCGTGATGTTTGTCCCAGAAGAAGTTGTTAATCAAATACTTAACTTAAGGAAAATAGCAAGTGGGAATGAAGGGAAAAAGAAGTTGTTAACAGTAAGTTTTATGTTATGCAAATCTTCCTGTGGATTGAGGGTAAACTGGAAATGAATTATCTAAAATGAAATATTATCCCTTCCAAGTGCAAGATGACTTTTAGAATGCAAGTTTTATCATTCGAGGAAATTCCTCTAACTGATAATAAGTTGAAGTTAAATGTTTAAAAAGTTAAATGGATGAACATTTGAAAGAGGAAATTTGTTTTTGTTAAAAAAAGAAATAGAAATAATTTCTCTTCCAATGTAATTTTAACAGAAGCTAAATTCAAGAAAGAAAAATTTGTGAAAAACAAAAAATTTCATCTGAAATAAAATGATGAATTAAAAGTGAAAAGAGTCTACGATAAACTGAAAACTGAAATGAACTTTAAATGGGAGTATTGAAGAGAAGCATAATAATGTAATGAAAGAAATTTGATTTGCTTGAGAATATGAAATAATATAATGAAAGGAATAATTAGCTTAGATTAGAATAGTGAGGGATATGTAATAAGCAAAGCAAATAATGAAGTTAAAACGACACAAATAATTATTTCATGGGCTATTTTATTTTTGAATTATTAAAATGTAACATTTATTTTGGAAAGCGTTGAATAGAAGAAATGAAAGGTGAAAAGGTGATAGGAAGCATTTTGTAATGTAAAAAAAAAAAATGCAAGCGCAAATTGTAACAAACCTATGTTTCTGCTGAATACTCGATTGCGGTTGCACCAACTCATCATTGTAACATTCGTCAAGCATGCGATTTTACACCAAACAATCATCAAAATGTAATCTTATCGCTTATCATTGTGGGAAATCATCAAAAATGACAAGAGATAGTATAGCAGACGTGTTGTAATCGCTTAACTCATTACTCATCCTTTTATTTCACGCATCTTTTTGACGTACACGTTATTCTTGATTTAGCATCAATTTGAATTCAAGTATTAAGTTTATTGAAGTTCAAATCAATAAGATGTTTATGAGGATAAAGAAATGAATTTGCTTTTCAATAAATTGCCCTTTTCAATAAATTATAATATTTAATTTAATTAAAAAAAAAGAATTCATAAATGTTTTTATGACTTTGACCATCGTCGTTTATTCATGCAGAAATGGCTTTATTAATGCTAATTGCTTTAATATATTATTATAAACTCGTAATTAATCAAAACATAGTAAATAGTGCCATATATCATACTGGTGACAAATGATTAGTAATAAGAAATCAGACGAAAATTTTGGATGATTCACTCCATTAAGAGTACATTCCTGAAATGACATTAGAAATGCTTTTATAAAGTTCTTTTCATTTAAAAAGTAATTTTTTAAAGCCAAAAAGAAATTTTCTTCTTTTTTTTTTGAAGAGATTTCCTGAATAAAATGTAAAATTTGATTACGACCCTGTGGCTAATTACAATGGCTGAAAGCAGAAGGACAGATTTGTAAAGTAGTTGAAGCTCGATCTTTTAACTGCAACCAAACATTATCAAACTTTGTATATTCTGTACTTGTAAATTCAGATTAGGAGGAACACAGAAGATGAGATGCGCCATATCCCGAAGTTCACAAGAAGAATTTGTATTGGAATTCTTAAAAATGAAGATAAGAAAATATGTATGAACAAAAGCCGTATTAGTAAAAGGACATCTATTTGAGTAGTACGGAAACAACACTGAAATAGGAGCTTCTCTCTGGGCCAAATCAATAATCAGCCTTGGATGAGAGTAGTAGACTTTAGGCCAAACCATTCATACTTCATTTCTCAATCGATTCTGCTACTGCTAAGCTCTCTAAACGTCGGTGGAATAGCTTGCCAAACAACTTGCAATCATGTTAAGCACCAAAAATATAGATATAACGACCATTTCCATAGCTAAACACGTCAACCCATAAAAAAAGTGAAGCAATGAATGATTACTTTCTGGACAAATAAGCTGAATGATATTCAAAGTAAAATGACTATTAAAATTTGTGTGTTAGCTTCCCTACCATATCTTTTGCAAGAAATAAGTTCAAGCATTCCGACCCTACTCTCCCCTCCTACACAAAAGTCAAAGCGTTCGACCCTTGACGTTCACGTACCATATTTTGCATCATTGTTACACATAACTCTCACACATTTATCAAGAACCTTTTCAACATACTACAGTTTATGAATATAAGTACAAAGGCATGACAAAATAGACAAACATACAAAAGTGACAAAGTAAAAGCTAGAATAAAGTGAACAAAATCACAAAATTCAAATGTTCGGAATCAAAAAACTTATTTCAGTTTTCAGCAGTTTTTTTTTCTTAAAAATTATATAAATCTTCTAAGAATTCTAAGCAAATGGGAAATGAATTGTAAATAATAATAAATAGACATGGAAAAGGATCACACAGATTCAGCGTCACCTTTGCTAGATGCTTTGCTAAGATCGAGATTTGGATAAAGTACAGCAGGTTTGTTGCCAGCTTTTACACGACCAACGAAATCCTTCCATTTCGTCAAATGCTCCTTCTGGTATCGTTCAAGGTAGTAGTCGTAAAGACTCAGCTTTTCTAAAAAGAAAAGAAATTTAGGATTTAAAGTTGCATCTCACT